TAAGCAGACAAAAATAGATTTATCCCTTTTTAAGCCTTACTGATGTTCTTTATTCCTTCTTGCAAAGATATGCATTCATCTGAAAAATTTCCTTTTGTCCAGAGTGTTCCTTTGTGGTACCTCTTAGTGGTAATCTGCTGGCAGTATATTCTTTCTATTTTTGTTTATCTAGATAAATCTTTATTTTGCCCTGTGTATACCCGTATTTTCCCTGGGGATAGAATTCTAATTTTCAGAATTGTGAAGATTTCATTCCATTATTTGCATTTCCTTTATCGGTTCCATGATTATTTTCTCCTGCAAAGTCATCTATGGTCTTGTTGTTGCTCTTTTGTGGATGATAAGTCCTCTCCATCCCCACCACCCACCCACTGCCTGATTTTGAGATTTTCTTTTTGTCTTTGAATATTTGACTATTTTTCTATGAGTACCTAGCATTGGTTTTCTTTGTGTTTGTCTTGCTTGGGGTTTATAGAGATTGCTAAATCTTTGGCTTGATGTTTTTCATAAATTTCAGAAAATCCCCAATTGACATCTCTTCAGATATTTGTTCTGCCTAATTTCCTCTCTCCTTTCACTTTGAAACTTAAATTACGTGCTTGTTGGATCTTTTCCCCATGTCCTCTAATGTCTCTTATACTCTTTTCTTTATTTTTCCACTCTTTATTTTCCCCTTTCAGATCTTCAGTCTGTTTATTTTCTGGTGATCTAGCTTCCAGCTTACGATTCTTCTTTTTAGTTGTGTTTAATCTTCTGTTAAATCCAGCTGGTGAATTATTTGTTTAGCTTCTGGTTCTAGAATTTTCACTTGAGTCCTTTTTAATTGATTGTGATTTTATGATGAAATTTAGCATCTTTTATTTTCCTGAACAAACTCGTCCTCATTATTCTAGAGCCTGTGTTGGATAGTTCTAAAGTCTGGATAAAGTGTGGCTCTCTCTCTCTGCTGTATTTTTAATTGGATTTTAGTCATTTGATCTCATTTTCTGCCATACCTAGTAATTGTGGTCTGGGTGTTGGACATTATGTATGAAAAATTGTGAAGCCTGTGGACAATTTTGTTTTCCAGAGAGGATTTACTTCTCTTTGCTAGACATAGAATACTGGCAGATCATCTTGATCTGCTAGGAATAGAAATTGGTGGAGAGTAAACGATCTCAACAAAAAGTCAGCTGCATTTACCGGGGCCACTTTTTCTTGGCAAGCCTAATTTTTGTCTCCCTAGCGCCATTATAAGTACTAAAATCTATGCTTAGTTTTTCAGCTGATTTGAGACTAATTTTTTGCTTATTTCTCATCTTCTTGTCCTTTATATGTGCAGCTCAGACACAATTATGTAACTCAAGAGGAAGCTGGGTGCAGATTATTGGTCTCATTTCTTTCTGGTTTCCTTTTCCAGGATTTCAGACTCTCAAGTTCTAGCTGCTTTGGTAGCCCCAACTCTGGTATCTCCCAATTCAGCGAAACTCCTTTCAGCTCTAAAGCATTACTTTTTGTTTGACTTATATGCAGAACAGCCAATGCCCTAAGGGGAAAACTGGCGCCTCAGTGGACTTTTCTGCTCTCTGAATACTGACTCTTCCAGTTCTGGCTGTATTTGTTTCTCTGATATGCCTTCAAAAACTTTTTTTTTTTTAATCCAACTTTTGTAGTTGTTTTTAGCAGAAGGATTGGTCTAATGCAAGTTCTTCTTTCATAGCCTGAAGTAGAAGTGTCTCTCATCTGACTTCACACTACCTCATGAATTAAGTAGAGATGTGCATAAGCTTTGTTATGTGCATAAACTTTGAAAATTGAATCCCAGCTGGCCACTGACCAATGTGTGAGAACTTGGATAAGCTTAACCTCTTTGACCTTTTATTTCCTCACCTTTTAATCAATATGTGAGAAAGGAAGTTGAAGAGACCTTTAAAGATCAGTGACTTCCACTTAATTAAACTATTTCAGAGCATACTAAAAGGAAAACTTGTGAATTCATTATATGAAGCTGCTATCATTTTAATTCCCAAGTCTGAGAAAAAAATGGCACCTAAAAATAATAGAGCAATCTCATTTATGAATATTAATGCAAAGAATATATTTAAAGTAATAAACAGAATCCGTCAATATTTTTTAAGAAGTGCGTCATGATTAAGAAATGCTTATTCCAGAAATACAGAGATAGGTGAATACCATGAATTCTACTAGAGCTAAGGAGAAAAAGAATTATGATAATCTCTCTGGAAAAAAAATTGGCTAAAATTCAACACACATTTTATTTTCTATTCAACAAATATGCATTGAGCAACTGCTCTCTTATAGCACTGAGGATAGCACTGAAGATGCAAGAATGAAAAAGATACTGGCGCCATCCCAACTCACATTCCAGTGGAGAGAAACAGTCAATAAATAAACAAGTAAAAGGACAAACTAGAACATCCATTTATTTGAAAGACTCAATAAAATGTGCATGGATTTCACTAATGTGATAAACATACCTTGGGCCAAAAGCCAGCATTTTGTTTCCCTTTAATAGGGAAACACTAAAGTTTTCTTCTTAAAGTCAGAAATAAGACCAGTATGCCCATGGACACACCAAATTTCCACAACATTTAACATTAGATTGAGGAATTAGTGGAAGCAAAAAGACAAGAGGAAGACATGAGAGACCTAAGAATTAGAAAGAAAGAGATAAAATCATAGCTATTTGAAGATTACATCAGTACATAAAAGGAAACCCCAAAAGAATCAATGGAATAACTATTACAAACAATAAGAAATTTAGTCAAGTGGCTGGTTAAAAATCCATATATAAAAATCATTTGCACTCATACATTCAAATAAAAAGCAGTTAGAAGATAAAATGAAAGAGAAATTCTATTTATGATAACAAATGATATACAAAAAGTAAATATTCGGAATACATATGGAAAATTATAAAATACTCTTGAAAGAAATAAAAGTAGACTTGAACAAATGATGAAAAATACCATGTTGTTAGGTGAGAGGATACAACATTATGCAGATGTCAGCTTTCCTTAATTTCTAAGTTTTGTACAATTGCAATAAGACATCCCTAAAGTCTTCTTGTTGAGGTGTACAAGTTGCTAAGTTGCTTATGAATTTCCCCTGTTCCAAAAATACTAGTTACTTCCATGGATGTGGTACCAGCTCCTGCAGCAGAGAGCTGAGGAGCAGTGTGGGAGGGGCTGGCTTTGTTTGTGCAGTGATGCGCCTTGCAGCTTACATAGCTCTCATAACACTGGGTGCTCTCCATGGTCCCTCTTCTGAACCCTGATCTGGTGAGTACCCCTTCAGGAGCCAGCATTCTGGAAGCTCATTTGGTTAACTGTGCTGTGCTGATGGGCTGCAGGCCTGTAGCATGTGTCTTCCATTGGTTTCCACTTGGGCTTTTGACTCATTACAGGTGGCAGCCAGAGAATGTAATTTGGGGAAGGGGGATGCACTTTTAAGTACCTCCTCGGTTTCATCCTTCATATTGCCTCTGCTTTCTGACCCCAAGGGATGCTAGACAAGAATACTAAGGTGTGAAAGACAATGCCATTTGCTACAAAAGTGGTGGTGCTGAATGGTCTTCTTTGTCATGATGGCAAGAAGTTGGCCCAAGTTAGGTATTTTATTTTCTCCTCTTTGGTTGCTAGCATGGATTTTTCAACTTTTTCTCAATATTAGATTTTTTATCCTAAAGTGGTTATTTATGATGCATTGTAGGTACTTTTTACTCGTTGTGAAACCACAGTATATGTTTCCAGCCTTTCCCTCCTATTACTTCTCACTGGGCCTTTTCCTGCTTCCTGCACATACCCTGTACTCTCCGCTCACCCTGCCTTTTCTTAAGCCTTTCTCTCTTCCTGGTATACACTCCCTCCCTTACTCCTGTCTGAAAGCCTGCCCATTCTTCAGTGCTATTTCAGAGGTTCTTTTAAAAACCCTTTTCTTTATGTATCCACCTGAATATGAATATACTGGTATTTTTCAGGGTAAAACTACCCCTTTACTTCTCAGTAATTTGTGTTTGTTCTGTAGCCTCCTGTTCAACTATGAATGTTTTCTTTTCTCTTTTTTCCAGCTATGAATGTTTTCAATGTAGGAATTCTGTCTGTTTTGCTTATATAACTTCTCAAACACTTTGCTTATTGCCCTACACAAGCAGGAAGATGGAATTAAATTAAAAAAAAAATACCCAAGGGTTTAATTTAGTCCAATGGCAGGGACTGGCTGTCCAAATTGTCTGTAAGATACCACCCTTTAGAAACTACTGAGTTGAGTACAGTCAGTCACTAGATCATACCAGTGACCCACTCAGGAGCAATGGTGGTCTTCATTATGGCACTACAAATCATAACCTGCTGCAGGTCAGATAATTCTGACTCCTGACTGCTTGTGTTTTTTCCAAGCACTATAGCACCTACAGTCTAGGTGGAAGAAATGGTGTCAGTCTGGGCCAGGGTCTTCCTTAACACTTGGTACCAGTCCAGAATCCACATGAGGAAGACCATGAGAGTTGTCTCTGTTCATTAAAAACTGAATGATTGGGGCACCTGGGTGGCACAGTCATTGAAGTGTCCGACTCTTGATTTCGGCTCAGGTCATGATCTCAGGGTTGTGAGATCGAGTCCCGAGTCAGGCTCCCTACCAGGCATGGAGCCTGCTTCAGATTCTCTTTCTCCCTTTCCCTCCGGCCCTCCCTGCCTCACTCTCTTAAAAAAAAACTGAAAAAACAAAAAAACTTGAATGATTAATAATATATTTTTTTATTAAGCCCCCAAAGCAACAAGTTTTTTATCTTTACTGGTGTGTGTGTGTGTGTGTGTGTGTGTGTGTGTGTGTGTGTGTGTGTGTGTTTTGGGCATTTAGTAGACCCAACATTGCTGAATGTCATGTTCTTATGAAAGTCTTCATCTTTTTTGTGAATAAATGGCTAGCAGAGGTGAGATATTTGCAAGTATCTGTACATATGAATTATTCTTCAAAAACCCAGAGTCTTTCTTTTCTTGCAGGAGTCCAGAAGCTTTGAAGTCACAAGAAGAGAAGGTAGGGAAAATGCCTTCATATCCATTTCGTTCTCAGTGTTGACATTTTGGAAGTAGTTTGTTGAAGCTAAGATGAACTTCAGACTGTGGGCAGCCTGTTCTTTGAAATTTCATGTGGCCTTTTCTGGGTGCTGACTATTTGGTACTTACCTCGAAGGACTTGTAAGAATTGAAAGCCAGGACTGCTTGAGAGAACTATGTCTTCTACTTTCGACTGCCCAAAGTGGGGTCTGGAGACCTTGCTTCTTCATGATCATGTTTGTGGTCTTGAGAGAAGCTTCATTTATTAGTGAAGTTTGAAGTAATTCTTTGGTTTCATCCAGCAAAAACAATATCAATAAAAAATGGTTTATGATTTGAAGTATTTCAGTAACTGGGAGAAGATGCCACTGTGAAAAATATTTGTGATTAGATTTTTACAGCTTTGGCTAAGCAGAAATAGAAATACCAATTAATGTCCCCTTTGCAACAATTCCATTATGTTGATTTTCCCCGCCGTTTCCTCTAGCACGTTTGTTTCTCGGTTTCTGAGGTAAGTATGCATGGGTGGCGATTTCTGAAACCTTTCCTTAGAAATTGAAGTTTCCCTTACTTTCAGCAATACCTACTGTCGAATAAGATGTCTTTTCTTTGGTTTGAGGATTCTTTGCCAATCATCTCTTTATTGCAGGACTAGGAGGAGGAAGTCGGGAATCCAAGTGAGTTCTTGGTCTAGGGTCCGGCCTTTGGTTTCAGCCCTAATGACAAACTTCTCTGTAGCGCCGTCTCCAGAAAGAGTGGCGATCTAAAGGTGTGAGCAAATTCCACATTGACCTCTAAATGTAATACATCCTTGGCTCCTGATTAATTCTTATTTTAAGCACCACAATGAAAGACCTAGAGTGGCCATGTTATCAAATTATGTTTCTAGAGCTTGGAGACCTAAGCCTTGCATACTGTCTGTATTGGTAAACCAATCCCCCTGGTTGTTTGCTGCCACCCGTTGGGGCTGAAACCCTGGGTTCAGAGGAGCTGGGTATCTGGCTCTAGGATAAACTCTGTGGTTTCCATTCCCATTTGCCATTGTCTCTGGTTTTGGGCTCAGTGTCTCCTGAACTGCATCTGTAGAGTAAGCGGCATTGTGTCGATCTCAAAACCAAATGAAATTGGATGGATATGGGTAGAGCCAGGAGGCCATGTATCTTATTGATGACCGTGTAAATTGGAAAGAAATAGCCTTAAGCAGAAAAGTCAGCATGAAATTTGGTTTTGAGTATTATTTAATTCATGTCAGTAGCCTCAAGAATGAATGTTTGGAATTAATTTGCATTATGGAATCACATATAAACCTAACCTATGGAAAGGTCTCTAAATAGTAAGGCTGGGGTATGAGAGAATCATGTGTATTTTTGCTCAGAGGCCTTAGAAGGCCGGATTGGACCCCCGGCTCCACGCCCACTGAAGACTGACACTGTTGGGGGATGAGCAGAGGTGTGGTTGAGTTATGTCCTACTCACCCATAACCTTCTCCTCTCTGGAAGTAGCAGCTCTCACAGCTGGCTGACTGGGAGTGCAGGTTTTGCATTTGTACCAGCAAATTTGTGCCGACATCCCATAAACTTTTTATCCCCCGTTGTGAACGGATGTCTTTCCTGCTGATTTCTGTCGAAGTTGAGTGTTTGAGAGTTCCTGGAATAGCTTCGTGCCTTAATGTCAGTGCTTATAACACGGCAAGAAGGAAGGAGGGAGGAGTGGGACCTTACAGGTTGGTTCCAAGTATCTTCAGGCCTGAGAATTCACGTGCTTCAATGGCCGGGTTGTTAATCTCCAGAAGAGTGCACAAGTGTAAGAATAATAGAAATGCTCTAAATATTCCAATAAACGATTATTCCTACAGACAAAAATAAGACATTATTGTCTCTCAACAAACACTTAGGGTTATTTTACAGTTGGAAATGAAAGAGGAGCAAATAAGTAACACTGAATTTTTCTGCCCAGTTCACCAGGCCCGGGAGATTTTGGAGAGGTCTGGAGGAGGTAACCTCTGCGTCACACAATCCACGATGCCTTCCTGTTTTTTGTTGTCATACTACATCTGGCTGAGGAGTATCTTCTCTAACCCAGGTTCAGTGGTACAAATGGATGACCAGCTACAAGTTCATAACTACGTGACTTTTGGAAAGTGTTGACTAAGTCTGTGAAGTGAGAAGTGAAAGGGACTAAAATTAACAGTGGGAATGGAGTCCAGGATAAATCACAGTGGTGCTGGAGATTGTAAGGGTGACTCGAATGTACTCTGTGCCTTGGACCTGCTCTCTGCCTTATTTCCAGCCTTGGATCTAGTTTTGTCATGATGCGCAGATTGTGGCCCACTTTCTTGTCTCTAGCTTTACTCATACTGTTCATGTACCCTGAATGCTCTTTGTCCCTAATCTTTATTAAATGCCACCTCTCCCTCATACCTCCCAATTCGTTCTTAACGTGTTCAGCTTACCCTGCCTTATTTTGGAGTTAAGGCATCCTATCACGTAATTTCCTAAGAACAGAGAACCTCCCCTCATTCATTCCAGATTCTTCATGGCCCTAGTCCAAGGCTCTGGTTGCTCAACAATTGTTTTCTGAATTGAGTGCAAGCTACGCATTGCTAAATGTGGTTTGTCTTTTCACTCTAATTCTGTTCCAGTGATAGACAAGTGAGGCACTGAGTGCCTTGGCTCTAGAAAGGCACTTTTTTTTAAGGAGTGTTCTGTGGATATCCATTGGATATTCCTAACTGATCGAAGTGCTCCATGTTCAGATAAGCTTCCTGTGTCCCCCCCAAAAGATATGTTGATACCCCAATGCAGAACCTGTGAATGTGACCTTATTTGGAAATCATGTCTTGGCAGATGTGTAATCAAGTTAAGATGAGATTATCCAGGTTTTTAGGAGGGGCCGTAATCCAATAAGTAATAACAGAAGAGGAGAACACAGGAGAGCGGAGAGCGCCCTGTGATAATGGAGTAGAGAGGGGAGTGATGGATCTATGGGCCAGGGAATGCCAGCATCCCTGGCAACCACCGGAAGCTAGGAAGAATCCTCTAAAGCCCTCAGGGGGAGCATGGCTCTGCCAACAGCTTGATTTCTGACCTCTGACCTCTGACTTCCAGAACTGTGAGAAAATAAATTTCTCTTTTTTAAACCACCCAGTTTGTGGAACTTTATTGTAGCAGCCCTAGGAAAATGACATACTTGGCCAATGCTGGACTCAGTATTGAGCTAGTTGTTGAGACTTTTACTGCAGAACCTCTTAGACCTTTAAGATGCTAAAAATGACTCTCAAAAGGGGGTGTAATATGCAGCATTTTCCAAATTTAGTTTCCCATGGCGTCTTAATTTTGTTGTGTTTGATCATCTTGAGGCTGGCATTCCATGCAGTGTCCTTTGCAAGTCCTGCTCTAGAGAGTTCAGGCAGAGGGAGTGCTCTCTTGGTGCTCAGGATGAGCCTATGACTCGGTACCAGTAACTTCTGAGGGCTTTGCATGGACAGAACGGTGACGTGGTGATAATGAGAATAACTTCTCAGTTCTCGAGTTTTCAGAGAGCATTTACATTCTTTCCCTCCTGTGACCCTCAGCAACCCATGACAGGAGGAGAGCAGAGAGCACCTTACACATGAGACTCCTTCCTTCCTGCCCATGCTAATTTGTGGGAACAAGGACTGCCTCTGGACCAATGTCCCTTTCGTGCACTGATCCTCTCTCGTGTACATTCTTCTGCACGTTCATGCCCACTGCCAAGGCTAGAGAGCTACGAGGGACTCTTGGAGGAAAACTATCTAGGGGCCATTTGATCCCAAGTTAGATTAGGGCTAGGGCTCTCAGGGGAACCTGGAGGGAAATATGTTGTACCAGTAGGTGTGGCGGGACTGCAGGACTGGTAGGAAGTCTTCTGGGAGGGCCACGTGCCTGCCCAGCTGACCAAGCCCTTCTTCCTTCGGTGCAGTCCTGTATTGTCCTTGGGCCCTGGGAGGCACTTGTGTTAGCTGCGTGGGCACGGAGAGATGGTTGCTTCTTCATCTGCTTTCCATCGCATGTGTGTTTATACCTCCCTCTAGACATCTTCCATTTAATTTCAACTTTTTCTAAGGCTTCAGCCAAAGGTGCCAACCTCACCTCTCCAAGACACTCCCGTGTCCACTCCGAGGGCTGGTGCTGATTGTGGCTGCCAGAATTCATCTACTCAAACCAGTACGTTTCTCTAACTGATTCCATCACATTGAATTACAGCCATGAGAGAACACTTGAGTGAGCTGAGCAAGTGGCCAGGATAATTCAGCCCTTGTCAGCCATCTCTTAGGTACGTGGGGTGTGCTGGAGACTATTCCAGATGTCTGCCATTGCATTATGATTAGAGGCGGTGAGTTTTGGCGTGGGTACCGATGTCCTATTGCATGATCCACCCTCCCAGGGATGGCTCACTCACACGTTCTAGTCCAGACCAGCCTGGTCTGGCTTCTGGCAGGATGTGAGGGAGACCTGAGAGCCGGAATGCTGTTGTCTTCCCAGAAAAAGAATGAGGGAGTGACAGTCACACAGCCAGGGTAGCTCTGACTCCTTAGCAATGCAAACCTACTAAATAAACATGACCTGCCAGTCCCCCACTGTGTGACTAAGCTCCTCCCTTTCTGAAAACCTTTGGAATTAGCCCTTAATTGGCAGCTGCCTCTCATAGCCCCTTTATAGTTCTCTGCATCTGGGTGAACTTCGGGTATCAAGAATTGCGTTCTGCTTACCATTAATTCTGATTTTGTTTAGCAGATGTTTTCTGGATCTCTCAGTTGCCTGCATAATCTGTCTTGGTATAATGTGAAGTGGCTGACTCCCTTCCATAAAACAGATGAATAAACTCTTAGCTGCTTTGGAGGTAACTTCTTTAATGGCTGCAGATGCAGGGAATTTAGAAAGGAGCCATCCAAATTTGGCAGTGCCTGGGGTAGTAGGTCCTTTTCAAATCAAGACTGCCATCTGGGCGAAGAGATGA